GGCTTGTGGTATTCTGCTTGTGGTGTGATCTTCTTTGTGATGTGGCATGATCGTGTTACTGGGTTTGTTTCTTTTGAAGGGGAAGTGATGTGTTGTGAGTGAGGACATATTTTACCTCAGAATACAGTAGGTTCCATATGCAACTGGCAATTCCAACTGCCTTGCGGGGGGGGGGAAGTTTGAGGTGTGGAATGGAGTGAAGTCCAATCAGCTTCCATATGCAAAAGACCATATGCAAAAGACCGCTGGGCGGGACTGCACAAAGCAGCCAGTCAACCCAGCCAGCGTCTTCTGACTGACAGTTTTTTTTCCTGAAGCCTTTTTGTTTTTTTCCAAAAAAATGGAAACATTGAAAACAGAAAAGAAATTGATTATGGAACGTTTTATTTTAACATGATTAATAAAATATTTTAAGACAAGGTGTTCAAATATTTTCCAAATAATTTCAGATTGATCTAATTTCTGTGCACTGAGGACAAGCAAGTCCTAGGTTACAAACTGAACTCTCCAATGCAAGAACAAGATGCATTTCTTCCTTTAGGAGGTGCTATTGTCACGAGAAAAGAAAAAGGTTTCAGTTTTGTTTTTGCATGTGGGCGGGTATTCTGTTTGTAATAACTGTTTGGACACACTATATTTTTAATATGCTAGTTGTGATAATTTCATGCCAAGTAAAAATGTCCATAGTCATATTTTATGTTCCTAAAGTAACAGAATGACTTTCAATCTAGAAAAGACAAAAGAAGTGCTAATGTAGCATTTTTTTCAATTTTTCCGAAAATTTCCATTTCCCCCCGAAACAAACTGGGAAAAAAACCAGGTTTTTTTCCGAGCTTCAAAATTTCCGGAAATTTTACATCTCTACTCCCTGCACATACAACTCTAACATATCACAGACAAGCACTCAGTCTAGCCTTCTCCCTGCAATGCCACTTCTGTATGGACAGGGGGGATTTTTGTGGAGCAGCATTCGACCATGCAGGCTGTCCATCACCAACACATAACACACTTGCAGTCTGGAGTGGGATACCATAACCACTGAATTTAACAGTGTGTACATCAATGCCTCCTTATAAAGTACTGTAGCCCTACTTCCCAGTACACTGGGACAATCAGATGCCCTTTCTCTGATTGGTTCCTGAGAGTTCCAGGATCTGACCTACCGCCAGGGACCTAAAGTAGTCTCTCTCCTCTGCTCACCTTTCTTTTTGCTTGACATATGGAGAAAGTTTATTTACAGATGGTTATTGGGACTGGATTACAGTGATTTACGAAGGCTTTCTCCCACCCCCTCTACCACAGCAGACTCAAACTTCAAATCTCTGTAAGGGTATAATTAAGGGTTTTGCTGCTGAATTTTACTTATACCTCGATATCTTTGCTTCTGGCAACTTCTTCAAAATTCTCCTGCTGCTCCAACGTTTTGTCCACTTTGTCGTCCGTCATGCAGAAGCAACGCAAACTGGATTCTACAGCATCGTTCATTTTGGCAAAAATCACAAACTTGGCCATGTATGGGACACATATTAGTTCCCTATAAAGTTGTGTGGCCAGCCCGACAGTTTCAAGAACTTGATGGCAGTCTGCTAGCCAAAATCTGAACACAGATTTGGGGGGGGAAAAAAAAGACCATTCAGCATAACCTCATACCTTGAAGATCTAGTTTGCACAGAGCTGAACAAAAAGATAAATTAAAATTTGGTTTGAATCACTACAAAACTATTGGCATTTCCCCCTAGGACCCCAGAGATACCAGGGAAAAAACCTCAGGTGGAACTTTGCACAGGGCCTCTGAGAGGGGGGCCCAGTGGCCCGGGCCTCACATTCTCGGGAGGCCCCAAATTTACCCTTCTGATGTTAAATCACATGTTAAATAAAAATGGAAACATTTATTACAAAGTCTTACAATATTCTTTTTCTTATTGTATTAAATGTAAACATTTAAAATATAATACTACTAATTTCATATCATCGTTTTATTGTACGTCTTCATTTTTTGATTTACTGAGGGAGCCCTCAAAAATGGAAGTGGTCCAGGCTTCTCTCGACCTCTGTGAGGGCCTGACTTTGTATGCCTCCCTAGTTTAGAATAGAACAATCTCCAGTCGGTTTATCTAAATTAAAGACATCTGTATTGCACTATTTTTGTATATTTTCTCCCTCCGATTAAGCAACCCCCCCCAAACCCCCCCCTTATTGAACCAAAATTAATGTCTTCTTGTTGGACAATCGTCTGAGA